CAGGATTTATCCCTCAATTAGTCGAACTAAACTTTGAAAACCTTATAGGAGAAAATATTGTGGGTGAGCTTGTATACTTTTAAGCTCTAAACTAACAATTTAATAACCTACAATTATAAAACTGTCTTAGATTTGAAATAATCTGTGGAGGAAACAAATTATAATGTTTAAGGTGCACAGATGCTTCATGTATCATCCCCTATTTAATAACTAATTAAAATAAGAGCAATTAAACCCTCACAGAGTCCATGTCATAGTGCCCGTGCTACAAAAGTAAGCTTACTCAATCTGGTTATACTATGGTTTCATTTAGCTTAACCTTTTATTATTATATCCGATGCTTTCTTCCTTTTTTTTTAGTTTTATTGTTCAAATTGATGGGTCCTATTTATGTCGGAGTTCTAGTTAGACAGCACTCTTTGAGTTTCATCTTTCAATCCTGATAAGCCTTTTTTTCTACCTTTTGGTCTAAGATATTTATATATTTTCTTATCTATTTTAAGATTTCTTTCTTTGATAAAATATTGGGAAGGAGAAGAAAATGAGATCAAAATGCCATGTGGACAAGGTGCATCAAGTAGTTTCATCGGGGAAAGTTATCAACTCTCAAAATCCATTTATCAATTGGGAAATGCATTTTTTTCCCGACTCTCAAGGTCTGACAACGAGGCTGACTACTCACAGATAATAAAAGCCCCATTGTGAGTAGTTGGTCTCATTATTGAATAGTGACAGGCCAATTTGCAGCGCTGTTATCAAATTATAATGAATTGTGGGAACCACCATTTGATGAGCCCTTATATGGGTTATTCTCCCACTTAATGACATTTAATAATTGATGATAAAAAGCATTTTAAATGGTATATTTCTTTGGTTTCCCTTTCTTTTTCATGTATTAAGATTCATACTTGGAACAATCGTTCTTCTGTTTGTAGCATTGTTCACAACCAAGTAGTTCTAAATTTTGTGTTAAATGGTGATTAAATTGTGGTAAAGCTAATCTGCAGAGCATCGACTCAGTCAAAACATGAGTGAGATTGCTGTCAGATTTGGCCTCTTTATCTTGCCAAGACCGAGAAAATAATGGTTCTAGCTGTTTTTAGTACTCCCAATCTCAGGATGCTTGATGCAATACTGCTTCAGTATGATGATGTAATAAATACATGTATCATGGAGGCAATACTTTCATTACTTTATCGACATTACTCTTAATAGTTCCACTTTATTCTTGGTGATAGTGACTGAATTAAAAAAAATGAATGTGGATTCTTTTCATTTAGTGGATTCCAGAGTTTGTTTTAAGAACAAACCTGTTGATTCCTGGGCATGTGACAGTGGATGTCTTTACTTTCTGGCTAGGGTCCATTGGTCAAATGATATATCCCGTCTCAAGATTGCATACACGGTAGTGAGTTTAGTCGTGCTGGCAAGCACAAGTGTATTAAGGAAAGACTAGGGGCTATAAAAGCATATTGTAGCTGCTTTTGTTAATCTTCAACTTCCTGCTGCACAAACTGGTGTAATTGTTGAGGTCAAATATATTCTTGTCATAAACTATTGCTTTGTTTGGTAGAGTGTTAGGCTCTTATTTTCAGTGATCAGATTCAATTTCGAACAGCCTCAATTACCCAAAATAAATTTGAACTTATAGACAATGGCGAGCCTGTGTTTAAAGTTTGATACTATCTGAATGAAACTTGACTTATTTGTTCAAATACCATTCATTAGTATTAGTTTTTAGTATTAGTTTAGTTTACTTTCCTTTTCTTTTCATGTTGATAAAAATCACCATTGCTTGTATGTTACATATCATCTTATAAGGTTTTGAAGGAAGGGAACCTAGACTAAAGGCTATTGTTACTTAGGCATCATCACTCAATTACATCTTCAAAATCGACACTCAAATTGCTCTTACCTCTTGTAAGTGGGTGAACTAGAGTTATATGCCTTGATTGCTATGTTGATGTGATTTTGATGACTACCTACTTAAAAGTTCTATACAACTAGGTTCCTTGAGAAAGTAACATTTTGGCACTTGTTATGCAGGCAGATCCTACACAAGCTCTTAATGTCCCTGTTGTTCCATTGGGAACATTACTGGCAGCTGCTTATTCTCTATCATGTTAGCCTCCTTACGTCTTGGCTTGGCTTAATAATCTAATATCAGCAGAGGACATGATGCATCCGGAGTTGCTAAAAAAGCTTGTCTCAAATAACTTCTGTAAGAATGGGCATATCTTGTCTTCAAATAATGTGAAATATTACAGCTTTCTTATTGTAATCTAACTTTACTCTTCTATGTAATGAACACCTGGGTGTTCTGTTGTTAATGTCACAGAAAATTAGGGATGTCAATGGGTATCCTGCACAAGCTCGTAGGTCTTGTATGGGGCAAGGAGAGTATTCCCTCTCCCCATCCATGTAATTTTTTTACTCATTTCTATTATCATACCTAATGGATATTTCAAATCTATCTTTATTTCCATTGATATTTAATGAGTATAGGTAATCCCTGTACTCATAATATTTTTTAAAAACATAAAAACAAAATCTTATTTTTTATATATTTTTTATTTTTATCTTGCACATTTACTTAATTTTTTTATAAATATATATTAATATATATTTTAAAAATAGAAATATATTAGTTCTAATAATCAACATAATAATTTATATTATTTAATAAAAAATTTATTAAATATATGTAAATATATATAGGGGTACAAGACGAGTGCTGTATTACCTGTTTCTTATAAAAATTTAAAATCATATCCATTTCCATCCTAGTACTCATTCTCATCTCCATTCCAGTAAAACATCGGGCTCTCTATTATGTATGGGTAAGATTGACTTCTCTATAGAAAATTAATAATTTGATTCTCATACACAAAACTGGGATTTTAATTTTACACCATGATATTTCTGTTACTGATTTTCTGGATAGATTTGTCTCTGAATGTAATCTGTAGTTGCTCTATTTTGGGTCTATCAATTTTTCTGCTTTTGTTTTTTCCTATACACTGACTTGCATAAGATCTATTATCATTTCTAGGTACCATACCAGCTAAACTTCTTCTGCAGCTCACAACAGCCCTCCGAGGAGAAAAGGGTTTATGTGATAGGAGTGGTAAATTTTTTTACAAGGATCATCTACATAAAAGCAATGTCCCTGTCGTGGCTATCGCAGGAGATCAAGATCTAATTTGCCCACCTGAAGCTGTAGAGGGTAGGTGGTAACTGTGTGGTTAGTTAAATGCACGTAGTCTTATATGGTTTTCATAGATATTTATATTTATATTCCTTATTTTTTAAAACAGAAACTGCAAAGCTTTTTCCTGAGAACTTGGTTGGCTATAAAATATTCGGAGAACATCAGGGTCCGCATTATGCACACTATGATTTAGTGGGAGGACGATTGGTAAGCACTGCTGATAGAAAATATTTGACAGGCCATTTGATTGTTATTTGACTGCTGCATGTATAATGCTTCTAAATTTGTTCAAACTGCAGGCGATGGAGCAAGTTTACCCATGTATAGTCCAGTTTCTTAGTAATCATGATTAAACAAGATATCTGGGCCGAGAAACACTGTTAGAAAAGCTTCGGTAAATTATCTATTCATTTTTCCCTACAGTTTTGTTGTAATATTGGCAGCATGAAATCTGCTTATTTATGCGACTCACAGAGTTAATGCGATTGATCATTTTGGTGGAGGCATTGCAAACGAAACAGCGGATGCATGAAAGACCTTCAAAATCCGTAGGTGAATTTATACTAATTTTAGCAATGGGTCCTTTGTTTAGTTGTATCTTGAGGATTATGATCAGGGAAATGTAATTTTGACTCATGGTAGGAACTTGGACCCTTAAGTTTCTTATCAAATGCCATGTGTAAGCCATCCAACAATCGATATATTGTTGGGGTTAGCATATGCATTTTCATATCTACATTCTTCGATTTGTATTTTAATTATTGAAAAATACGTATTTTTTTAAGGCTGAAATTAGTTTTCTTACTTCTTGGTATGGAAAAAGCAGTTAAAATTCAATATGCTTTACTCTATCTTGGATCCTGTGGTGAAAAGCACCCTTTTTGGGCAAGGAGGCAATGGGATAAGAGATACAGAGTGTTGTCTCCTCGAAGAGCAGCAGCACTGTTATCTGATAGAGGCAACTTATAACCAAATCCGGCAGGCATTATTTTACCTTTGATGACATGCGTCCAGCTCTTGGAGACACAACAGACCTTTTCCATTCGTAGAGGAATGGGCTGGCTGCAAGGCAGAGAAGTGCTTGTCAAAAAGAATCATCATATATTTTTTCATTAATGTTGGTACATAAACATTGTAAACAGACAACAATCTCATCCATAATTAGATGATAAGTACTGCTCTTTCATGGCTTCAAGTGAAATTTTTTTATTTTTATTTAGAACTATCAGCATTTGAATCTGATTATTGAAACTAAGAGTTTAACGATATCAATAAATCACAGCAATTTTTTTCATCTTTCAATCGTTAACTAACAAAAACTAGCGTTCATTATATGTATACTCCTGTTGGTATAAGTAGTTCAATTTCCCCATTATCTACAGGCTTACTTTGCTCACTCGTGTTAGCCAGTGGATCTCAACCTGAAAATCTGAACCATTGTTGCAATGTTAGGTGGCAGAATCCAACCAAACTTTCGTTACGATCACTTTAGCCATCCCTTGTTCTCCTGTTTTTTTTAACTCCCTTGTGTTTTTGCATGTTGATAGTAGCAGACTAGCAAAAGAAGATAAGCATAGAGCAATGATTGATGATGGAGAGGTCATTCCTGTCTTCCATAATTGCGCAATTTGGCCCCCACTTTTCCTTACTTCTGATATGCAGATTCAGTTATATATACTTGCCCGATAGAATGTTCTATAATATAAATAAATCTAGCTGCCTGTAGTTAGAGCATAGCAACGTGCTTTTGCTACCAATTCTGACTTTTTTGCTCAACCAAAATAATCAGATGGATTCCAATGCATCGGGCTTTCTTCTAAACAACTCGACTCTCCACTCAGTTTATTATCAAAGCAAGGAAGATAATGGTATTATTGATCTTGGTCTTAGTCTGAGAACTTTACAACCTGAAGCCTACCATCCATCTACACATGGTAAGTCTGCCTTGTTTTCCATTTTAGTTTTTAGTTTTACATATTAGTTTGATAGATCGGTTAACTCTGTCGTTCTGTTTGATGAGTTCCAATGTTCTAACTGAAACCTGAGTCAGTGGTAGGCCTGGAAGCATACAGTGACCTGATAAGTTGGCCCGAGGCGAATTCACAGTTGAAAAGCTCCAACACTGCACATTCGAGGCTTGCACATGGAGATTGTGATGATGAAGCAGAGGGGGTCCAGAGCAGAGAGAGGTGGGCTTATGCCAAGGTTAATATGGATGGGGTTATGGTTGGTCGCAAAGTTTGCATGCTTGATCATGTTGGTTACTCAGGCCTAGCACGTCAACTAGAGGAAATGTTTGGTAAGTAGAAATCATTCCCAGGATTTGCTTGAGATTTTCTGTTCTAGAAATTACTATTAACATTGTCAAGATTATTGCTTCCAGGGAGTCAAACAGTATCGGGGTTAAGGCTGTTTGAAGTTGAATCGGAGTTTTCCCTGTTTTACCAGGACAAGGAGGAAAACTGGAGGAATGTTGTTGATGTTCCATGGAAGTAAGCTTGTTCGAAATTCTCGTTTCTTTTAAGATTCGAAAGTGGAAATTTGGACCAAACCGCTAATCTATTTTGTCGAATTTTAACAGGGAGTTCGTGGAACGTGTGAAACGGCTGAGGATTTCCCGAAAGAATGAAGCTCTTCATCCTCGTTCATCATCATTCAACTAATTTATTTCTCTTGTTCCCTCCTGTATTATGGTTTTGAAATTTGTACGGGTTGCTGTGACCCTATAAAGTGACCATGACCAGAAGAAGGAAAAAAGAGATAATGTGAAATGAAAATGGTAACCAGTGAACTTTGACATACATTTTTGGATCATTTTTACAGATTGTACCACCCAGAAGATGTTCTGTTCCACTTTTCATAGTGCTTAAAAAAAAAAAAGTTTATCAGTTTACTCGATGCATGTTCTGCTCAAGCTGGTAAATAATTTGTGTCATATTGATGCTTAATGGATGCATGTAACCAATTCTCAACTGGTACTGCATGATATTGTTCAAACTAAAAGAAACACAAAGCAGGCTTCTGGTATTATTCAAACTCGAGAACATGATTAATCCTTTCGGTAATTTTGTAGATTTGCATAAAGCGGACATATTAAATATACCGCTTAAACTGAAAGGAACAGAAAGCTGGCTTCTGCTACCTTGCTAAATGCTTTTCACATCCATATTCCATTTATTCACTTATCTACTAAAATTTTACATATAAAATACTTTGAATTTTAAATTTTAAATTTAATTTGTCATTAAATTTTGTTGCACAATTCACTAGCTACATCTAATTAAAGAGAGAGGAAATTCGAATGTTAAACAACTATATCTCTTTTCAAAAACCAATAACAATAATGACAAGGTTAGGCTTGAATTGTTAATTTAATAAGGATTAATGTTACAAATAGTATCTGAATTATATGAAATATTTAATTTGATATATGAACTTTAAATTTTTTTAATATAATACATAATTTATGAATATTTTAAACTTATTTAAAGGTTGGACTATTCGTCAAACTCGAAGATCTGTCCAAGTTTTGAGATAGTTTAGAAAAAAAATTAAAATCCGTTAAGTGAGCTTATGTATAATTTATAAGACCGTTTAAGTTTCGGATTAGGCCTTGAACAAAAAATTTAAGCTCTGAATCCAGTCCGGCCCAAATTTGCATATATATTTTTTATTTATATATATGTATATGAATTATATATAAATTAATTCACATATCTATAAAAATTAAAAATAAAAATTATATATTTTATTAAATTTAATTTTTATTTTTAATTTATATATATAATTTATAATTTTAATTTATATATATGTGAATTGAATATAATCTTATTAAACTTAATTTAATCATATTTTTTTATTTTTTACTATATAAATTAAATTTAATGGGAGAATTTGGGATTTATTTTTTAATTTGGATTTGGTTTGAAAAAATTTTAGAATTCAAAATTTCAGACCAAGCCAAACCTGAACAAGCATATAAGTTGTTAATATCAAGCATGAGCCTAGATCGAACCTAGTGTAGCCAGCTAACGAACACTTCTACGATATTTTAACTAATTTAGTATTTTAAAAACTATTTGTCCGTCACATTTCGTTATTTGAAACTAATTACGTTAGGAATAAATACTATATTAATTAATAGATTCATAATTCAAAGAATACATTGAAGATTTTTAAAATCCAAATATTATATTTGATATTTCACTATAATTTAAAGTCATTGTAATGTTAACCCATTTAATAATAATATTTAAGTTGAGTTTCAATTAAGGTCCGAGTTCATACTTCAATTCAATTAGTTGCACCTCCAAGGTTTTTTGTATTATTTTTTTAGCATTTTAAAGAAAAAAATAAAAGGAAAAAGAGAAAAAAAGAAAGGATTGCTGTGAAACAAGTCCAATGTGAATCAAATATGTTACTTTTTTTTTTAATTAAAGTTCAATATCAAGTAAAAAATTTAAATTTTGGTCAAGGAAAACTTAAATTAGTGATAAGAAGAAGATTCTCGAACTAGATATATTTATTTAGAATTTAAAATTTTTAGATTTAAGTTTTATTGTGTGACTTTGGTATAATTTTATATTAAACTTGTCTTATTAAGTGGTGGCTTGTTAATTGGCTTGTTTGCATGATTTAATTGAATAATTTTTATATGAATATAATAATTTCTCATTCCTATAACCTTTTTTTATACTTGTAATTTCATAAAAGAAAATTTGAAAAGTTTTACTTAAGAAATATATTTTGTTCACTCGTAACTTTGATATGTATAATATTAATTAATAGAATTAATATTATATTATTGATAAGCATAAAATAAATAACAAATAACAATACTTTAAGTCTATTAAATGCAAATTATCATACATAAAATTGATATTACGAATTTCTTTTTAATTTTTAATTTTTATAATAATTAATAAATATTTAATTATCATTGAAGCAATTATAATACTCAAATACAATTATTATTTAATTAAAAATTTTATATTTTCTATTAATTTAAAAAAAAATATAAATTTATACTATATTTTTGAGTGATGATTCATAATTTAATCATCTCATTGATTATTTATTTAAGTGAAAAGTCTTAGTAATGACATATTTATTCCAACGTTTGAAAATGTTAACATTAATTTCATTTTCATTAATATTTATTGAAATATGATTCAACATGCAAGTTGTGTGTTAATTATTTTATTTGTTGAATATATTATTACAATCAATAAAATTTAATAATGTTCATATTATTGGATATTGAAATTTACAATAAAATACAAAACTTAAAAATTTTTAAAAAACTTTTACAAATTAAAAAAAAATAATGAACTTGCAGCATGTGCGAGCTCATTTTATTTGATACTTTGTCCACAGATGTTGTTGCTATAGCCAATGGGACTATAATCTCAATTTCAAATTTATATATGTTGAAATAGATTGATTCTCCATCTTTTTTATTTAAATGCAAAGAAAAACAAGGGTTTGCTTTTACAATTCACGTGGATCTTTTCTAGTTTTTGTTTTCTTTGATAAACCAAATTTGTAAAATACATAAGTGATTTCAAACTTCAAAACTCTAATATGGTTTAAATAAGCCCACCATTCGGACTAACACACGGTTCAAACCCAACTGCAAAACATCCAACATAGTTTTGGAAACTTCATTGAAATGTAACAAACATGAGGTTCTAAAACTTACCATACGATAATCTACTATATATTAGACAACCGACTAAATTGAGTCAACTTTCGGTCCACTTTGAACCATAGCCAGGCAAAAGTCACATTGAACATATAAGATTTATGGTTCTTTTAAGAGTGAAAGTTGAAGGATGAATAACCGAAAAGATTGCATTACATAGTAAAATTGTATTGTAGTTTTTAACAATGCTAAAGTCTTGATTACTTACCCAATTAACTTTGCATTATATATCTATCTTCTTAAGTTATAAAATGAAATGATAAACTATTGTATGTGATTGCTTTCCATAGCAATCGAGTTAATCACCAATAAGTTAGTAGCAGGCTTCATCCTACACTTTAGCACCTTTACGTAATTCGTGGACTCATCACTTTTTCTTGGAATCTCTCCAAATCAGACTTTGAAATGTTTCAATCTTGAATAGCCATTGGAGAATTTTTAAAATGATAAATCTTTGAGAACTCTAGAAGGTGTGTGTAGATGTGCCACTTAACTTAATTTGTCTAATTCGTTATAAAGGGTATTCTTACATAAAAAGGTCACCTTTTTTCTTGGTGTAGACGATGAGATCATGCATTTGCTACATGATTTCAATGGGAGTTCGTGACTTGGATTTGAAAAGCCCTTCATCTAGGTAAGCAATAACTCTTAGAGTTTTGCAATAACAGTAGTACCAGGTAGCAACGCTTTTGTGCAAATGTCGCATTATATATCTATATTTTCATGTAATAAAATTAAATGATAAACAATCGTATGCGATTGTTTTCCATAGTGGCCGAGTAAACCACCAATAAAGTAGTAGCACTCTTGATCTTACATCATATAACCTTTTTGTGATTCGCAATCTCATAATTTTTAATTTGAATGCCTTTCCATATCAGGCATTAAAATGATTCAATATTGTATAATATTTAGAGAATTTTAAAAATAATTTAAGTCTTTGAAAGATATAGAAGGTGTGTGTAGATTTGACACTTAACGTAATTTGGTCCATTTCTTAGAGAGAGTTTTCTTATATAAAGAGGTCTCCTTTCATATTGGTGTAGTTGAAGAGATCACGCATTTGTTGTACGATTTCTGTCATAATGAATTTTAATTTGTGGGGATTTAATCATTAAATTTGATAAAAATTTAAGAGAGTTAACACTAATATTTTTATAAGGTGTGATTGGACACCTAAAACATCATCTTTTAATAAAAATTTTAAAATTAATTAAAATTTATTAAAAGACACTTAGGTTTGGAAAATCAATATTGAGTTCGAAAATACAGTTATGAGTAAAAAATATATTAGTACCTTCGTATCGCTCATTCAAAGACGATATCAATTAAGCATGTGTTCTTTTTTAATTTTGATGATATAGTCTTATTTATATTTAAAATTAATTTTCTAAAATTTAGGAAAAACATTATTATTATTATTATTATTATTATTATTATAATAAATTCTCTAACACTTTTACAGAAGTCATAAAAAATATTTTTATTCAGAAAATTTTCAGAAAAAATTGTCCCTTCATAGGATTTCTAAAATTTTGTCATAAGATATTTTATTTATTTATTAAAACTAATTTTAGGATCTTGACTTTTGATGAAATCCAAAAAATCATTTCTCTAACTGATTTTATGGTTATCTTAACTTTTTGACGAAATCTTAAAAAATTATTTCTTTTGATAATGATTAAGAAAAATAAAACTCTTTCTATTTTTTCTTGAAATTTTTATTCAAGAGATTTAACTAAAAATTTAATTAATTTTTATTGTTATTTATTTATTTATTATTTATTATTTATTATTTTCATCATTTTTTGATTATTTAAATAAATTCTTATTTAGTGAAAAAAACTTTTTGGATTATTCGAACTCTTTGGTAAAATTCAAAAAATATTTTTTTTGGTAATAATTAAGAGATTCATTTAAATAAAATTTTATTTTTTATTGTTTTTTATATTATTTAAATAAATATTTATTCTAATAAAAATAAATTTTAAATTATCCTAACTCATTGGCAAAATCAAAAAATATTTTTACTTACATTAATTGAAGAAAATCGAACTCTTTCAATTTTCTTTAAAATTGCAATTTAAAAAATTTATTCAATTGATCAATTTTTTAAATTTTAAAAAATTTTTATA